CAGAGATTGCACCTCCGCCATTGCGCCCTCTAGATTTGGTGTTAATTCTTTTGCCACAGCCGATAGCTTAAGAGACTCCATCGATATGGGCTTCGGAAACTCGTCCGAGGAATGTAATGCATTCGCCACGGTGGCAATTTGCATTGAATACAATGGTTTTGTAATTTCCGTTCGCAGGTGGTCAACAGCAGCCCTTAGCAAACGAACACGTTCGTCTTCGGTGAGAATCTCCCTTGCGACATTGCTCAAAGAGTATCCAAATGCGGCATCGCAGTGCTCTAAAAACTCATTTCTTTTAGCATTAATAGCCGCCAGAAGTAAATCAAACTGTTGGTTAACAGCATCCTTCTTTTGCTTCGCAAATGAAACAATCCTCTGGTGCTGATTCACCCAATCCGCAGCACTTTGCTGCCTTTCTTGTAATTGCTGAGAAAGCCTCTCCAAAATTTGTCGTCGAGAATCGCCGCCAAGAACCTCCGGGATAACAATGAGGTCCTCCACGTGGGACGCCTTCTTGGAAACACACAGGGCGCACAGTAGCTCCTTGGAGAAACGATCAAACAGCTGAAGCTCCTTATGGTGCACTGGACACTGAGGTTCGGATTGTGCCACGGAGTACGGAATCCAACGCACTGTCAGCATCGCAATTGGAAGCACAAACTTCAATGGGTCCTTAAAAATAATTGCGGATTTATCTAAAACAAAACAACTGGTAGCAGAGGAATTGATGTCGAAGATATGTTTCGCCTCGAGCTCCGTCTCAGCAAATAGCATGTTCCCAGGTGCGGCCTCGTAGAGAACGATGGGTGTGTCCAAGTATTCAGGGGATTCGTCGCAACGCGCTCGTGATCCATCCGACTCCAAGAGACGTAATTGTGGGTAAAAGTATTGATTAGGCAAAACTCCTTTTGTCACAACGAAAATGTTTTTATACGCCCTGAGACCTGGGGCCCGTTCGGGGTCTTTCTCCATCAGTCGAATACGATGCAGTTTTGTAACCTTGCCATAAAATTGCTGGGGCGAGAGAACGGAGAAAAACTGCTCCACAATGCGTTTGCGAACACTAGGGGAAAGCATTCCTTCACTAACAGGCATATCCTTCACTTCCTCAGAGATAGGAGATAAGACTAGAGCGCGTACGTCCTTTTCAGTTTTCTGAGTCAACGTCAGTTCCAAAGCAGCCGGTGAAAATTCGGAACTCCTCTCATACTCAGTAACTCCTCTTCTGGTTCGTTGTTTTTCAGGGGTGGTGACTTTTTTTTCGGCAACTAGGCTTGAAACAGAAGATGCGTGGTGGCTTGCCGAGGTAACCAATTTATTTTTTTCATGGCCTCCCACCCCGTTCTCAAACTCTTTGGTTTCCTCCAGAGGCATTACATGAGAAGGGCTTGGCGAGGAGTGCAATGACGCTTGAGAGCATTGGTGTAAAGTGCTGCCTCGAGCTCTTGCCGAGTCATCATCCTGAATAATAGATGGGTATACCAAAGCTTTTGGCTCTTCATTAAACCGCATCGAGAAACCTTTAGAAGGGGCAACGGTAATCCGTTCCGGAGACTCCTGTAACACCGGGGTTCCCACATGGTAGGAACCTTCTTCAACAACAAACTGAATTTCACTCTCACTATCACTGGCGTTCCGCGGGGCATCTGGCCTCAGTTGTACCTCATCTATGTCACTCGCCTTGTCTTACAAGACGAGAATGCGGGCGGTTTAGGCTTTGGGTCAGATACTTTAGGAGCGCTTAAGGGCTTTTTTTCTTTTGAGGAACTACGGCTATCACGTTTAGGAGAACCGGAGGGAGTCGGTGGTAACACCTGCGATAATTTTGCCGCTTGGTTTGGGTTCAACGGTGGAGCAAAAGGTACAGAAATCTTTGGCGGTGAATTTTCGGGTGGAGCGGTTACCAAGAGGTTCTTTGTACCAGGCGTCGTCGAGTTCGCTGGCGGCGGCGCTTGCATTTTACCATGTGGTACGCCAGGAATCATTTGTTTTTTCATCATCCCAGGCGGCGGAGGTCCTTTTATAAGCTTTGCTCCAGGAGGCAGTGGAGAACCCTTCATCATTATCTTCACGCCCGAGGGAGATGGCCCGCTCATCAGCTTCGCCCCGGGCGGCAACAGTACTTTCTGCCCGTGGTGCTGCAGGGAATAAGAAGAGACACTTTCCCGTCCACTCAGTGCAAATGAGTGCACAAGTTCTTGCGATGGAGACGCATTCATGGATTGCGAAGGCGGCATGCCTGGCTGATGTATAGAAGCTGCTTGCTGCGACTGTGTCATGGAATTTTGAAAGCCCCGTGGCGGTGGTGAAAAGGTGGGAAGGAGCGACGGCGACGAAGTTTTCATTGGCGCGGAATGAATTGCTGAAAAAGAGGGAACGGGTGTGGCAACTCCTGGAGGTGTCAGCTGCCGAGATGAGCGACGGGAACCTACCGTCAGCGGTGTTTCGGTATAGCCCCTTTCAGCCCCTGTCGCCAGTGACGAGGTGGTGGTGGTGGCGTCGCCCTTCTTCTGTTTTTTGCGAAAAAAAAACGAGTTCATTTCCCCGCCTCCTCCTCTCTCCCTTTTTCTGCAAGTAAAAAATAAGGCACATTGCAGCAAGGCGTAAATAAAAAAAAAAAAAAGAGGGAAAGAAATAAAAAAAGTGGAGAAATAAATCAAAGAAATACACACGCATACAGAAACAGAGAGAAAAGTTTTAAAAACCGTTAAAAACCGCAAAAAAGAAAAACAATTACAATTCAACTGATGATGTTTGTAAGGAAGACAGTCGCGATAAAAGTAGATTCACCCTTTCTGCCTTTGTGATGAATTTTCTACGGCCTCCCCCTCAGTCAAATCAATTTTCATCCTCGACAAGCGGCTCTTCCTCAAAAGTGCTGATGCCTTCAATGTGGGACAAATGTTCATTGAAGAGATTCTGCATTGTTGCCGAGTTTTTCGTCTGTTGAATTGTCTCGGACATTCTTCCCATCGCCCCAATGTGCCGCGACAACGGCGTCTGTTGGTGCACAGCGGAGGCTCTGGCGCTCTCTCCCCATGCGCAATGCTCCGTCAGATGTGTCAGGTGCATCCCATGAAGGTTTTCATCCGCAGCAGCACCAATGAGGAGCGGCATTGTGCGTCTACCATTTACTCGCATGAACTCCTCACGAATAAAGTTGTAATCAAGCTTCTCCTTGGTCACCTGCGTCGCGGCCCACAGAGTCCCGTGGCAGCGCATCAGCTGGTGGAACATCATCCCCTGTGCAAGCCGTCTAGCACAAATGTCGTTCATCCTAATTTTAACCCCTTCCTATTCGCCTATCAAATAATTTGTATAAAAAAGGAAGAAAGGTAGGCAATAAAAGAAATTCTATAAGAAACCATGTAGAAGAAAACAAACACAAATGACATTTAAATCCCCCCCCCCACACACACACACACAGACAAAAAAAAAAAAAAAAAAAAAGAAAAAAAAACCGTTTTTGACACACCTAACGACAATTGCCCATGTATGCATTTGTGTAAGTGTTTGTAGATTGAATTTATCTGCCTCTACGGGAAAGCAGTCAAAACAGTTTAGGTATCCTCCTTTTTCTGCCCTGCCACGCTATCCCCGTTGCTCGACAGACCGAGGTGGTCCAACTTCTTTACGCCAATGTATGCAAAGCCCGCAGCACGCAACTCTTTTTCGGTTGCATTGTCATCCCTCGCATAGTCCGGAACTGGTGAAATTGTGGTGCTGCCTGTAATCCGTGGTGGGTCCTCCTGCAAGTACATTAATGAGCGCATCTCCCAGTAAAGAGCAAGAACGAAGATGACAGTAGAAATCCGAAAAAGCGTCCAGCTCCAGTCCCTGTTGTACCCCCAAAAATCAAAAAACGGGAGATTTTCGCGGGATTCAAAGCGCGGGTCCTGCCAGTGCGGCTTCTCGGGGTCGATGTGCTTCAAATCGTCAGGATCGTACAGCCGAGGATCCGTCATGTGCCGCATCGCCGACGCAGTGTCGACGTACGGCTTTGGCGGAATGGGAGTCCGCCGCTTTCCGCGTCCAGTCATGAGCCGTAGTAGCCACTTCATTTCGTGGCAGCCATCTTTCATGTTAAATCCGAGAAGACAACATGCATCAGAAAAAAACAAGAAAAAAAAAAAGAAATGGAGTGCAGAATTTCCACCCGTGCCGAAACGCATGACATGAGCCCGTTCCTCTGATCCCCCTGACACTCTTGTAAGGCTCCTTTTATTATTATTATTATTATTATTATTATTATTATTATTATTACCGTCAATGTGTTGTAACGTCAAAAATTTACTCAAATCTCCCGTGAGAGAGTCTACAATATCTTCTTCTTTGGTCACTCTGCCGTCACTCGTCTCCTCTCGCCACTCTCTCCCACCACGCACACCGCCTATGCGGCAGTAAATTCGTCACAACCACGGCATCCACCAGACGTACATCTCGGCAAGATTTTCAACAGCGGAGGAATGGCTAATCAGGCGCGAGACTTGGCCCTCACAACTGAGTGCAAAAGTGTCCTTCTCGCGGGTACTACTGTACAAATCGAGAAAGCCATCCAGACGACGTGAGACGCGCCCAATCAGCTGTTTGGGATCAAAATTCCTCTGACGCAAAGACGAATGCCGCGTCCACTCAACGAGAGGTTCATAAAGTAAAGTTTCAACGACACTCATGACAGCGGTTTTGTTCTTCATTTGGCACCGAAGGGCCACCTGACAAGATGCGCGGAAGGGTCCGTCAACGCCAAGTATCCCCATACCGTCAACCACGTTTTGTGTCAGGCGAAAGCGCACCCGCTCTGGGACTTCTAGTGACTCACCCTTGTCAAATAGACACGCAAAGTCCACATGCATGAGCTCCCCACAACGCAGATCCAACATGAGGTTCTCACCATGTCTGTCGCCAAGACCAACGATATGCCCCGCAATACTCCAAAGTGCCGTTGCTTGCGTGTAACTGTTCCGTGCATTAAACCACTCCTGATGACTATGGAAGTGACGGTGAAACCAGCCGTGCAGAACCGGCCTCGTTTTGGGAAAGATATGCTTCTGTAGCATATCTAGCTTGCTGAGGGACCCGCTGTCCACCATGGATTTCCACACCTTCACCTGAGAAACACGTACACCCGTGCCGTCCATTGCATAACAATCCTCCACCACCCTCCGAAAGGGACTGAGGTTGTTGACCCATTCGATAATGGCGCAATCATCACTGAGAGCGGAAACTGCGTAACGACGTAGCGCAAATCGCTTGCGTCTCGGCTCCGGATCCGTCAAAAAGAAAGTGTTCATCAATGAGGCAATTTCCATCATTCGCATGTCCTTTCGTGGTTCGTCTCTCGCCTTACAAAGAAATAAAACCCGCTCACCCTCATCGCTGACTACGGTTATGCGCTTAGGCTTTTGAAGAGAACTCATAATAGTCACACGATCCTCCAAACTCTTAAATGCTGCAGAGCCTGCAAAGACAGAGCTGTTCTCTGCCCCGTGCATGACATTTGGAGAAAGGTTGGCCATCGTCGGAAGAATAATTCGTGTCGATGGAAGAATACGCTGAATGCGCTGCATAAACGACTGCCCAGCAATCGACACCTCCGACGATGAGCGGCCACCAGCAAGACTTGTGGCGGGGCAGTTGCAGAGTTCAATGAAAGACTTGAAGAAAGAAAGCATGTTTTCAACAAGCTTCTTCTCACTCGGGATGCGCTTCACAAACTCAAGGACAATCGCATTGTGCACCGTCTCTCTGCGGTGGTGTTGTTTGCTAAAAACAATGGGAAGCACTTGCCACAGACACTGTTGAGGAAACTCCATCATGAGATTGACAACCGTACCTGTAATAATCTCAACCACGCGAGTGTTCTCATGACCAATGCGAGACAACAACTGTGGAAGGGCCATGATGAGCTGCGTGGCAGGCAATTTTGTGTCCTTTTGAAGGAGATAAAGCTCCATCATTTCATTCATTTTTTTAAGCACCGAATCCGCAAGGGCAGAGATGGAGCCGGACTTCGAGGTCAGCGTGGCGAGGATGGCGGAACAATTAAGCCACAGTGTGAGCATGCGGGGTAGGGAGACAATCATCGTCTTACTGCCCCGTCTTAGCGCCAGCCCAAAATGGTGTATCGCCTGTAACACATACGACTCGACATTGCGTACCATCTTTTTATCCTCCATGTCATCCGAAGAGGCACTCAAAACCATACCGGACTCCTGCACAGGGCTCTGAATAGAGCGGTATAAAGTGTCGTAAAACAACGCAAGATGATGGTGGGCCTTTTCAGAGTCACTCATTTTCAATGCCGACTCATACCCCGCAATCACCTCCCGAGAGGTTTGGTAGCCCGTCTCTTGCCTCCACCGTGTGACAAGCACCCGCAAATTGGCTCGAATGACTAGCGGAACGAGCTTATTGTTGACAGCATCCTCGGCAAATTCAATGGCTTGATTAGACATGTTCATCTCGTACAGTAGCTTCGCCACTGTGGTGCAGTGCGATGGGTCGAGAAAACCATCACTAAAACTTGCCTGCTTAGCCGCACTAAGTGCTGCCTCCAGGAACCCCTCATCACGCAACATTTTTGCGTGCTGCATCCACGTATTCGTCACTTCTTCCTTCATATCAAACGCCCGAAAAATGGATCGGTGGAGAGACATCAAAAGTTCTTGTGTTTCCGGTGTGGACTCGGTTAGTCTAGCTCGTTGTTGCAGCAGGGATCCAAACTCCCGAAAGCATGCCGCGTTCTTAAGGACGTCATCATGAACAGAAATCATTTTCCCATCGGAGCCTGCCGGTGGGGCTCGCAAAGACGTCACGGTCTCTGCTGCGGTTTCAATGTCCGTTAAGGCGTGAAGTACAACCACGTGCTGATATACTTGAGCGTAGCTCTCCCTAAAAGCTGCGCGGATAACAGGGGCGATTTTCCGTCGCTGCATTTTACAGGCGGAGAAAACCTCCTTCAGCGTCCCTCTCTTGCAAAGTAAGTTGTTGAACGCCACAATGGGTGGCGCCAGACTCACTGGGAGATCCTGGCGAGTTTGGATATTCTTCCATTCACCAAGGCGCCACGCTGCCTCATTCGCGTAGTTCTGCAATGCTGCCATCCTTGCCTCCAAAAAAAGCTTATCCTGTTTTCTATGCTCAGCTGAGACACGTGAAGATTGGAGCAGCAAAGCCTGGCTGTAACGAGACATGAGGTGTAATTGCCCAAGTTGTTGCATACAACGCAGCGCTGTAAACTGATGATTGATACTGTTAGGACGCTGCTGAAGCACCAATTCGCTTGCCTGAAGCGCCAGACTCCATTCTCCGTTGTTTTCATATGAAAATGCCGCATCCTCTAGTTGGTGCTCCTGTGTGCGGTGGAGACTCCTTGAAGAGTCCCTGTCGCCGAGGGTGGCAAAAATACGTTGAAGAGAGATGTTTTTTTGCATCACATCCTGAATGGATGGCAAATAACGTTGGCTCTCAATGCATCTCAACGCACGCACGTTACTTCCAATGGCTACAGCCGCCTTGGCCCGTGTTGTCCAATCCACTTGAAGAAGAAACTGTTTGCAGACATCGTCAACACGCATCATTTCACTTTGGTCCACATTTCCCCCACGCTGCACGTTCAGTTGATGGATGGCACGAATCAAATTCAAACGCAGGTGCTCAATATCCTCCAGTATGTGAAATACCTCTTGCACATGTTCCTCTACACCAGTGGCCCGAGCCCCTGGTGTGACCACCTCCCTCATGATGCTTTGCGAATATATTGAACCTGATTGCTCCTTCCCGTGTGATGCATCTGGTGACGCAGCGTGGAGCAAATTCATCACCTCTAATAAAACCGCGTTGCAATGGTCAACATTACCTGCCCGTAGAAGGTGAACGATAATGAGCGGCAAAAGAAACGTAATGAGGGCATGATCGCCCTTAGCCATGTTGCGCAACGAACCCATCATGCGCCCAAAAACGCCCTCGCAGCGCTCGACAAGGTCGCAGAACCACGAGTCCATCCACTCGGAAAAGGACATTTTAGAGAAGTACACCGGGCTGCGTCTTTCAGTCTTCGTGATGACACGCTTGTCGTAGCGAGTAGTGGTGTATCCCGCCAGCATCTGCCGGCACGTCGGCTCCAGGTGCGACCACCACGTATACTGATTGAGCTCATCAACGTGTAATACCTCCTGAGTTTGGAGGGGCAGCCGATCAAGCGGTTGCCGCTCAGCGTCCGTACAGACACGCAAGAGCTGTTGCACGGCGTAGGCAGCACGGTCATGCATTGTAGGGTCCGCTGTATTCGCAAGAGCCCGTGGACAGTAGACACTGAGCAATTTGTGCGCCAGAGTGCGCCAGTCCAGTACGTCCTCTGGCAGGAACTGCATGCCCCGCAAATCCGCACTACGGCCGCTCTTCAGAGAAAACGAAATTGTACCCTCACGCGGCGTAAGCTCTCTCCCCGTTGCAAGCAGTGGAGCGTGTGAGTGTGCCGCGGCACCAATCATGCCCACGCAAGCCAAAATGTACTCGATATGATCGTCACGCAGCTCACACGCGCAGTTGAGCAGCGTAGGAATGAGCTGCGGACTCGCCCCAGCTGCCCGCGTCATTTCCATCCGACCAGCACTATCAGTTTTGGAGAGATATTGATAAAGGGCCCGGACAAACACCTCCTTACACTTGGTAGAGCTTGAGTGCATCACCGACAGGAAGCCAGCAACAACAACGGTGGCGTTACGCTCACTAACTATTGGAGTATTTTCCACATTCAATGATTCTGCAGCGGAAACTTTATTGCCGCCATTCACCCCCAATCGATGAATAAGCACATTTGTCTTACCCATCACCTTGAAATACGACTCCCAGAAAGCCTCCTGCGAGGAACTTTCGTACACGATACGCATGGCTTCTTCCAGCAAAGGCAAAGGATCGCCCTCATCATCACAATCATCATAACCACGACTTCCGCCGTGACCCTCTGCCAGCTGCCCCATGCTCAGTATATCCACAACAATAGCAGGAGAGTGTTCTTTAAGGTATTCCTTTTTGCAATTTGCGATTAAATCACGCCAGACGGCGCACACTGGTCGCACCAGTTGTGACCGCACACTACAGTGCTCCAAAATGGCCGGCAACTTGGGTGCGATAGACGTCGCATGAGAACCAAGAAAGCGTATTAGCAATGACAGGCTGCATAGGCACCGCCGTACAATGCATATAGGGACATGGTGACTCTTCTTCAAGGGTCCATTACTGAGGCCCACCAGCTCCGCCATGGCATCCAATACGTAAAAGACATCTTTCGTCAGCGCCCTTCCTTCTGTTGTTATTGTCACCGGTGTCACCAGCGCTTGTAGAATCATTTCCGTCAACGGACCACACTCCACAATGGCGAGCGCCATTTCCACTGCAAGGTTGAAGTTGGAGAGAACACCGTCACCAACATTCTCCCTTTTGTCCTTTTTAAGACCCGTATCCATGGTTTCACGTCGCGAGCCCGCTTCGCGGAGCCGACGCCCAGCCTCGAGGTATATAAGACTGACAATAAGCGATTCACGCGAGTGGGCCACCATCTCTGGCAACTCCTCCAAAGGCCTGGAAAGAAATCCCAACAACTTCTGCACCTTCTCTAGCTTCACCGACACTGACTCACGGGCATACTCCAACAAAATGTGTGCCATGACCCTAGAAAATATGCCGCCCGGGGAAGGCGTCTCCCAGAGAAGCGCAGCTATTCGTTGCAGCTTCTCCTCACCGCCGTCGGAAAGTACACAGTGAGGCAACAAATCCTCAAGACTAGCCAGGACGACCTCCCGTACATCGCTTTCTTCCAAGTCGCACATGGCCTTAAAAAAAGAAGTGTAAATCATTTCAGCATCTCTCCAGCACAAATCAGCCACCGACCACGAGAGTTGCAACATGATGGCATGAGCCGCAGTCAACGCAGCAGATTTGGTGGAAAGCGTGAAGTCATTTTGTTCCCAAATTTTAATGCACACCTCAAGAACACTGCTGCAGGCTTTCCGACTCCGTTCTTTATGCCGTGTTGGGGCGATTACCAGCGGTAGGGACGCAATAGCAAAGGAAGAAACGTCACGGTAAATACCCTGACGCACAAGAACCGTTTGAAACTCGCCGGTAAAGGCGGCCTGAAGCGTCTCCAGGAAGAAATGCTGTTTCGCCGCCTCATTCTCTTCAAAACGCAACAAATTGTCTGAAAACATATGCGTAATGCTCTCGTTGTCCCATCGAGTAAAAAATATGCGCAACGCTAACGCCGCGTAGCCACGACGAATGATGCAATTGCTGTGATTCAAGCCACGTGACAGAATTATTTCCTCCATGGCATCCCACCGCACGGGAGAAAGCGCCACACACAAGCAAACAAAAGACAGCAGCGTGTCATTGAGCTCATCAGACCCCAGTGAAGACCTGGCAATGAGGAATTGGCGTCCCGCCCAGCCAATTGCCTCCAGAGGTGCGCTGATGCCACGCAACACCGCCTCAACACCACCACCTCTATTGCTTTTGGTGGTGCTGTCACTATTCATTTTTTCTTCCCCCTCCTCCCCTTCCTCCTTTTCTGCTTTACTGGAGTGCTGGCGGTGCGGCTGTTCTCGACATCGTTTGCTTGAAGCAACAATAAAAACACCATCTTCAAGGTTCAGGGTTTCCGGCATTTTAGCCGTCTCTTCCTCTTCCTCGTCGTCCAGGACAATCACCTCCGAGGCCGTTGCAGCTTCCCCATTGCCACAAGCAGACAAATGGGAACGCAGCCACTCCGTTATGGAAACCGTATCGGTCACGAGAGCCACCATTTGCTGCCAAAACAGCATAGGCGCTTCGTCACTCGCACTCTCCTCAAACGACAAATCCGAGATGCTTAAGGCAATCATTTCAAGCACTTCACTGATTTCCCTCAATGTAGTCAGCATGATAGCTGCGGCATCACTGATTGCCTCCACCTCGGC